ACCCACGGAAGATTTTATGCTTTGCGTTGCAAAAGTCGTAAATTATCTTACAAAGAGGAATCATTCAAATTGAGAAATTTGCAAAGCGAGTTACTCCCTCGGCAAAAAATATTCATGTAGTAAAAATATGCCTACTGAAGTCGAGTGGCTTGCAAGTTTTCGTTTATGGGAAGACTGTCGAACGCACAAGTGAAGGAACTCAGATTTAAATCCGATTTTTTCCCGAACACGTTCTGCATGTTTTGTTAGATTAACGCCTTATCTTACGACGAAATTTTGACTCTCCAAAGAGTCTTTCAAGGACAAGGAGACGAAAGGAAGTTTCTCGAGCTGGTTTTTGGGGGGTCAAGAGTTCAAAATCCTCTCGGAGCGCCATTGGCGGTCATCGGTCTACTCTGCCTTGCTAAGAAAAAACGCCGTTGAGCTTTTGGATGTTGCCAAATTTCTATTTATAAATCACGAAGTTTCAAAAATATTTTTAAACATTCTTCTTCCATTTTTTCAGAGAATTTCGTTCGTAATTTGATCTGAATAGTCTAAAAATTTCAAGGCAAAATAGTGATAACTTTCCTCAAAAATAAACATTTTATCGAAGGAAATTCGGCAACCCTCAAATGTTCATACGGCGTTTTTCCTTAGCACGGCAGTACTGGCAGTCTGACGGTTCAACCTAGAGTACCTATACAGGGTGATCCGTAAGTCCTGCACTAACAGCACCAGGGATCACACTGTAACTTTCGATGAAATTTAGATAGAGAAAAGGATCTTCCAGTAGTCCTGCTCTGTCCGTAAAGACACTCTACACTGGGAAAAAACACATTGGATCTAGAGTTGAGACTCTTAAAAAAATCAACAAGAAAAAGTACTCTTGATTCAATCAGAATCTAGCTGAAATCAAGAACCAAGCCTCTTAATTTGACCGGCTTTCCTTTTGATTTAAGCAAAAATCCGATTGAATCAAGAGTATTTTTTCTTGTCAATCTTTTCAAGAGTCTGGACTCTAGATCCAATTTGTTTTTTTTTCCAGTGTACACCGTAACCAACAAAACAAATTATTCAATGGGAAATATGGCAACGTAGGCGCATTGACTGGTTCATCGACTGGTGGTCACGAGTGCAGCGCCCGATGAGACTGGATCGAGACGCGGCGCCGGCGCGTGCTCGCGTGAGAAAGTGATGCGCGAGAGAGAAAGTGAAGGCCATCGCTCCTCGTTAAGACAGAAGCGCGTAACTCCATCGGGATTCCCGGTGCGGATCCGTCGTTTCTGCGGCAGCGTAGAGCGGGTTGCATAACAGCGCCGCCGCCGCCGCCCCGCGGCTTGTTTATTTTGTGCGTCCACTCGGATTTTAGGTCGTCCTCAATCGTCTTTATGTAATCCGATCGGTGACGATTCTTTAAATCGTCCTCTGTGTCAATCGCACACGTTTGTTTGTGTGGGTTGGCAGCCTCGTGGACGGTGTCGAGGCGATGTAAACAAACGTTCTCATTGGTCGATTGGTTGGTGCGTTTGAGACGCAACTTTTCATATCTAGCGTTTTTCTGAAAGACTTAAACGTAGGGATAGGAAAATAAACGATGTAAACAAACGTTGTCGTTGGTCGATTGGATGATGCGTTTGAGACGAAACTTTTCATAACTAGCGTTTTTCTGAGAGACTTAAACGCAGGGATAGGAAAATAAACGAATTTGGACGGCTCTGGCGGCAACTGGATCAGTGGTCTCGTGAAAGAACTGTCGCATATCTTGAGAGTTGGCAACACTGTTTTTCCTCCATTGAAATTCATTAAAATTATAGATCCACGTGAGGCAGCCAGAATCGATCGTTTTCCTACATTTAAATGGAGAAAAAACACTTCTGCCATCTTATGAGAATCGCCACTGGAAGAGGACGATCTTATTTTTGGATGTGCCTATTTGTGCTTGTACTTCCATAATTTTCAGAGTTCATACAAATATTACACTTGTTCTCTTTTTGAAACAACTGATTTAATTGACTTTATTTTTATTCGAAAAAAAATTTCATTCGTGCAAACCACAACTTAGTGTTGTGAACTTATGTGTACTTTACTTTAATTTTGCTGACATTAGAGGGAAAAGTTGGATAAAATGTCAACAATTTCGCGAAGTTTTCCCGCAAGTGATAGACACTCAGTGGTTTCCGACTAAAAACTGCCCTCTACTGTGTAACTCACTTTCTGTTTAATTTTGCCAAGGAGTAAGACGCGGGTCAGTGGTCCGTTTCATCCATCCGGACCGAATGCGTCGCTCTTCTAGCGTAAAGGCGTATCTCGATCTCCGCATGAACCCCAGAAAGCATAGATTCATATGTAAAACAGGACCCACGTGGAAATCCAGATATGTCCTTACGTAGGAGGAACGACGAATTAGTCGAGGTAACGGGGGGCGGGGAGGAGGGGGAAGTCTCCGCTCCATTAATGTCGCGTTTCGTTGAGCAATCAATTTGTCTCTGGTCAATGCTGCTAAAGAATCATTTCGCATTGATCGCACACTCGGATTGTGCAACCGGCGATTTCCACTCCCCCATAATTCTCACCGCAAATTCAGAGCAAGGAAAACTGAAGCACAGTTTTCGTCGAGCAGGTCCAAAGACCCGCCTTCCTCGGCCCTGATTTCGACCGCAGACAAAATAGACGTCATTGAGCACAATTGGACGTATTTCTATCAAACGAAACTATGTGCATTCAGACATGAGCCCTGAGACCCATAAGAATATATGTGTAACAGGGCTTACATCATAATGCACATAGTTCTGTTTGATAGAAATACGTCCAATTGATACGACTCCGTCGAGAGATTTTCCGTATCAGTATGGAACATCGTATCTCTATTATTAGCGCGTTTCCAAATACGTTCTCTCGCAAATCTGTTTATATCTAATGACGCACAAATATTCTTGAAATCTGCCAAGTACAACCCTCGCGCGTTAGATTTGTGATCATGTAAGGGAAATGTGATCATACCTCACCAAGGTGGATGGAGCTATTTTTGTCGAGTCGGGCCGAAAATCGGATTTTGAGATCGTGACGGTACATTCGATCGTCAGGGTTGTCGCAGTCAACGAAAACCGAGAAATGTCAGGGAATTTCAAAAAGTCTGGGAAAATGACGAAAATGTCAGGGAAAATTTGTTAAATCACCTTCATTTGCTTTCTAGAATGGGTTCGAGGTTTCGAACAACAAATTCAATCATGTCTTCTTAACCATCCGTCACATCTTCAATTGTCAGGGAATTTCACCAAAATGTGTCGGGGGAATCAGGGAAATGTTAGAGAATTTCTTTTTCCAAATTCTGTGGCAACCCTGGATCTTGTATCTGAAAGAATAGGTTCCAACAAGCGGTTTGCTCACACCAAATTACTTCTCTCAATCACAAAACTCAAACAACTATAACTTTAGTTTAGTCCGACTTTTTTTGGGGGTGCTTTTTCCCAGAAAATGTTTGCATAACTTTACTCCCCTCTATGCTGTGGTGTTAATTACTCGATTATAAGACTCGGCAGGCGAGGGTGTCCTCTGCCGTGCGCCGTCACATCTCGTCATTTTCTGGACAAAGGAACGTAACTCTATTCCAAGGTTGCAAAGTCGTACCAAATATTTCAAATTTTTACAAGAATGTACCTGGGCAATTTTTCCTCAAAATTTGTCTGATTTTGGCCAGAGTTTAAAAGAAGAATTAATCAAATTTTGAGTCAGAAATTCCCAACATTTTCTAGGTAAAAATACAATCTTCGATGGGAAATTTGGCAACATTGAAATGTAGTTACGTTCTTTCGTGTGCCGGCACCGACGATCTGATCTCGATTTCCTCTTTTCGAGTATCAACCATTGCTTTTTGATGGCTTATGAAAAAATGAATTTCCTTTAGGGGAGAAGATGCTCTTGCTCCATCAATGTGCCCTTAAGTAACTTAACGGACTCTTGCTCTTGCCCATTAAGAGAATTTTCCGAACTTAATCAGAAATCGTCAAAAACCGACGACGAGACACGGGTTTTTTTTTCGTTTTTGCGCTCACAACAGAAAGCAATGGAGTTTTGCACAATGAGCACCGAGCATTAAATAGAGCAGTCGCAACGTCATTTACTTGGGCGAACCTACAAGACCGCGACAGAGAATAAATGTGGAAATTACAGTGGTGCAATATTTTATCCGAATTACTCGTACGGAAGTAAATGAAGATTGTCTGCTTCCAGTCTAAGAAAAAATCGGAAATTGAATCTTACACTGGTAGAAATGGTTCGAGCTGACTGAGACCTCACATTTTCTTGATCATGGTTTTTTTAGGTCAAGACATTTTGCGTTGAGTCAACGCCCTCTCTACTTACAGTAGGAAGAAAGTTGTTCTAAAAGAGACCAGCAATGTTTTCCTGAAACAAGAAAATGTTTTCTCAATTCAAGTAATTGTTTCTTGAAACATGTCACCGTTGTTCTGAGACAGGGCAACGGCGTAGTCATGTTTCGGAACCATAATTTCCCAATTAAAAGACATTGTTTTATTGATCCAAGAACTTTATCCCAAGTAGTAGTGATCACGATAATTAGCGATTTTATCGGTTGATTATCGCGATTATATCGGTGGCAATTTATCGCAATATTATCGAATGAAAACTTGCGATTTATGGGGATTAAAGCGCCATGCATCACAATTTTGTTCAATAAAATCGCGATCAATTTTCGTCGATAAAATCGAGATTTCATCGCCATATATCGCGATAAATTGCCGGACGATAAAACCGCGATTTTATTGCAACAAGATCGAGGATAATCGCTCAGATATTGATGATCTTAGGGATGTTATCGCCGACAAAATCGCAACAAATCGCGATTTTTCCGTTGAAAAATGCTCCTTGGGATTGTCCTGACACAGGACAACTGTAGCCAAGTTACAACCCCTTCTTTTCTTCAATGATTTTTTACACAACTTTCACACTAGCCAAACAAATCGCCGTATCAACGTTGCGTTTATGATTGTGTGTTGCAGAGAGCATTCCGGACGTTCTGGCGGGCGGCTGCGACAAGTGCACGGAGAAGCAGAAGATGGTGACCGAGAAGGTGATCAAGCACCTGATCAACAAGAGGCCCAAGGACTGGGACCGCCTCAGCAAGAAGTACGACCCACAGGGACAGTACAAGAACAAGTACGCCGACCTCTACGAAAAGGTACAAAAGGAGGCCGCCAAGGAATCCAAGGAACCCTCCAAGCCCACCAAGGACACCACCAAGGTCACTAAGGACACCAAGGAATCCGCCAAGGCTCCCAAAGCCTAAACCGTCAGATCTGCCGGTTCCTCATGCCCACCTTCCGTCGAAAGTCCAACTTCCATCGTGTGGTCGTCAACTCTTAAGGAGCTCACTAACTCTACCTGAGGAACCTTGATTACTTCCAACATGGTTTCCGCGGTTACTTTCCATCAGGAGCCACGTTGTGTCCTCTTGAAGACCACTTCCAAACTAAGAAGACACTAATCCTATGAACCATCCTTGTAGGCTCGTCAAAGTGGACTTTCGGTTTATCTAATCCAACTTTTAAACTTCCGACAATACGTAAAGTGTGGTCCGAAAATGCGGTCGTATGACCAGATAGTCCAACAGATACACTAGACCACGGTTCATGCGATGGAAATCTTCTTTCGGTGAACCAGTAAAAGAATAAATACTAAGTTATATTCGACTGTTTCGGGTTCAATGAGAACTCGATCATTCGGACTCCGGCTCCTTTACCAAAAGCGGAAACTTCGCGGAAGTTGTGAGCATTTCGTGGAAGTTTTTGGAAGTCTAATCCGGCGCACTTCCGCGCCTGGAGGTCGTTGAAAAGGTCTCCGCTTTCTCGCTTAAAAATTACTTTTTCCGATCTCATTGCAGCGTCGAATCTCCACCTGCCTCTCTTGAACTTAGCTTTAATCGCCGTCCCTCTGACGTAAGATCGTACCTTGGTCTCCCCGTGAGCCCTGTTTTACGTATCAATCCATGCTTTCTAGGGCTCGTGGGGGGTGATCGAGATACGATCTTCCGTCAGAAGAGCGGCTTACTAACGACGCTTATTCAGTGCCCGCCTGGTTGCGCGCCATAAAAATTATCAGGGTCAATAAAATTCATCGGAATGTAGTGTGAATCAGCTCCCAGTGTTGCGTCGCGGAACGGATTACAGACTGTATTGTCCGAAATATCGTCCAATGACCTTAATTGATAGTAATATCGTGAGATAATGAAAGCTTCGTCCACCAAGAATATTAGACAAAGTGACGATGAAGTTTTCATGCGAGCACTTGGGGCCGACCAAACTTACAGTGCTGAACGAACCGTTACCTTTCAAACTTAATTTTTAAAAAAAAGTCCAACTTTTGACCCGAGCGCAACCTGGCTTTTTCTCTCAGTATCCCTGCAACCCTTTCCCCATCTGTTCTCCCCCTCGAATATTCCCGGAATGTTTGAAATTGTATTTTCGTCTCGTATTTTTTATGTCTTTGTTAAACATTGTGATAGTTTTTTGTTGAGCAGTTAAGAAACCACTTTTTTATTGATGAATAATGACTCACTCTCTAAGCTTAAGCTATTTTGTACGTTTTTAAGAACGACCTGTAAATGAGTCCTTTTTTTGTTTTCCGTCTGCTTGAAGGAAAGCGAGTGAATAAAAGTTACTTCAAAAGACTGAAATATTTGTTTCTTGCCCCTCCATGACCCTCAAATTCCTTCGATGGTGGATGTATCAGTTGCATTTGTTACACACGAAGAAAAAACTGTGGTTCGTATGGAACTTTAAAGTTTTCAGTCAAGGTGACTGGAGTTTTCAGCCATGGGAACTAACAATAAATATCAGTCCAGGTAACCGCAGTTTTTCAGCCACAACAAGACTCGTGTTCGTTACGAACGACTTCGGTCATTTGAACTGCAGTTCGATTCTCAGGACTGAAATCCATAGTAATCCCTTTAGACTGAAGTTTTTTCTCCCTGCATATGTAATCATGTTCTAATAGCTGAAACTCATTAATCACTGATCAAGTTACTAAAATGGTACACACAAGTTTTGCAATACCGTGCCTGTATATAAAATATTAGAGAATTAAGAAATGAATTAATTTTATTTGATTTGATTTAGCATACTTTACCATTTTCATTTTAGGTCAGATTGAGTAAATTTAAATGCATTAGTCATAGAAGAAAGGAACACCACTATAAAAAGCAGTTGGATTACATTTAGCAAAAAGGAACCAGCGCGATTACAGTGTCGTAAAAATATTGCTTCTCCATAATTATTTAAAAAAATCTTCCAGAATAACAAATAGTTTCCGGTTTCCACCGACAAATTATTCTTAATTTTAGAGGAAATAGTTGTGTAAATTTTGATACTGTGCATATATTGAGTATTTTTAAAAGAAAAGATTTCGCACGTTTTTGAAAACACTGTAATCGCGCTGGTTTCTTTTTGCTAAATGCAATCCAGTTGTTATACACCCTGGTAAAATTTGGCAGTAGAATCCGTGTTCCGAAATACCATAGACCTACAGCCGGCTGTAAGATTTCCAATAGCTTCTATAGCCGGCAACACCATTTCTTATAGCCTTTTATAGCCGATGGCGATTAAGCAGCAGCCTGGCGATAAAGTGTATGCTAAACGTTACTAATTACGGCCAGGACTTAGTGAGTTTTTGGATTATTTCTCTCTTTTAGTGCCGTAATATCTTGACTTATTTTGTGAGGAAAGCTCCGTACTTTTGAAGGCTGCCTGCCATTCCTAGTATGTTGGAACGCCTTCAATTTCGTATGATACTGTGCAACACCTCTGTGGTGAAAAAGTTGCTTGACGCGCCGCGGCTCGATGGGCGGCCGGCCAGCGCGTACAAATCTAACAAGGATACTTCACGCATTGCACATTGCGTGAAGTATCCCTGTTAGGTTTGTAGGCGCCAGTGCGCCGCCGCTCCGCTTTGTGTTAGGCTCTAATACTTGATCTCGTGGAGTCAGCGTTTTTCAACTCATGACTTTGAAATGTTTGCACTCTCTGTATGGATTATTCTCATTTTAATTGATGAATAAAAATATGTAGTAAAGGAAAATATAATGAGTGTTTTGTAAAAATTGAGGTGATTCCGCACAAACTTAAGGATTTTCAAATCACACGAATATCTACACAATTACTTATAGCCTTTTATAGCCGATGGCGAAAAAGCAACAGCCAGGCGATAAAGTGTAAAGCCCGGCGATAGGAACTATAGCCCGGCTGCATAATTTTTTATCGCCTCGTATAGCCCGGCCGTATGATTTTCTCCGCATTCTACAGCCAGCTATATGATTTTTCTGTAGCCTTCTTCTGCCGGCTATAAGAATTCATATGGTATTTTGAAACGCAGCTTCTATCACCAATTTTTACCAGGGCACATTTGCCAAGTTATTACAACATACTTTCATTTGCCTTTTTGAAACGATAAAATATTTTGGGCTCAAAAGTCGTATTTGTGGTCAAACTTTTCCTAAGAGACTCGATAATAATTCTCTTAAAAGCACCTCAATATCGCAAAAATACCATGAATAAGACTATGAAGCATCCTATAAAAAAGAAAATTAAGACAGAATTGTAAGATTTTTACTCATTTCTCTCCAGAATATCCTAAATTTGTTTGCATTAAAGTAGAAAAAAGGACAATATTCATTTGCTGTGTTCACACAAGGAATACATTGACCACTGAAAAGTATCTGGACAACATGAATAGCCGTGAGAATAGCCAATATCCAAGCAACATCAATACACTGAAAAAAGAAGCTCCGGGCTACACAGACTTACCGTCCGTTCCGGGCCTCGGAACTGTCGGCCTGGAGCCGTAGCTTTGATTCCTTCGGGTACTTTCGGCCTCTGAGCCCGGATCGCGGACGATGTCTATATGTATAGCGTGTAAGTACGGCTTCCACGGCCGGAGCTTTTTTTTAGTGAAGAGTGTCCATGTAGAGAACATTTGAACGCTCTACATTCATATTCCGCCGTATTTCAATCGAAGGAACGTAAGTCGAATTCCGAAGTTTCAGGATGGACCCAAGCAATTCAATTATCTACTCGTACAGGGGCGTGATCACGCAATTCCTGCTCAAGATGTTGCCGCTTTTATCGTGCAAGAAATCAGTGGAATTTTCGGTCGAAAGTGTCAGACAGTTTGGTAGTAAGATACATTTGTCGAGCAGAAATGTTAAGACTTTGAAATGCAGTTACGTTTTCTCGTCAAAATATCTTGCAAACCTAAGAAAGATATAACCACTAAGAAAATCTTAAAAAGGCGGAAATGCAAACCACCCGTGATCGGTGCTTTTCCCAAGGTTTTAGGTATGGGCCCGACAGCATGGGAAATTGCATGTAAGTGTATTTTCTGAAGAAAATACACTTAAAGTAACGCAAATAACCCGAAGTAGCTGTAACCACAAATATTTTAAACTGTGTGGGCACCTCCTTGATAAGCGCTTTACCCATCCAATGGCCAGGAAATCTATCGTGCTAAGGAAAAACGCCGTATGAACATTCGTGGGTTGTCAAATTCCTTCCGATAAAGTATTTATTTTTGAGGAAAGTTATGAATAATTTTCCTTGGAATTTCCAGGAATTTCGGATAAAATTGGGAACAAAATTATCCAAAAAATTGGAAGAAAAACCTGCATAGGCTTATCAGAAAATTCATGTTTTATGAATTGAAATTTGGCAACGCCTGAAGGTTCATACGGCGTTTTTCCTCAACACGGCAGAAATAGAATGGAAATTCCAACATCACGTCAGAGGTACAGCAGTTTTCTGTTTCAAGGGGGGACGGGTGGGGGAGAGGGGGCGGCTTCGGCGTTACCAGGACACGAAACAGACCAGATGATCGCCCTGAAAGTATGTTTGTTTGCTCTGCTTATTAAATGCGCAAACTTCTTGGCGCAAACCCGCGCCGGCGTATGATGTCATGCTGCAAACAAAACTATCAAGGTAATTACGATCCTCTCAGTAGATGACGTCTTTATTTTAAGCACTACTTCTCGGATTGGCACTCATGTACCTCACGTCGTCGTCACGTAGTTCCCTCGTTAAGTTGATGTATTTTTTTAAGGATTTCCGAACCGCTGGACGCTCTTCCTGAGAGCGCGTCACGGATAGAGAATGCCTCCTGGTCATTTTTAAGGTGGAGACTCGCTCATAAATGGACCTCATTTTGCAATTCGAAACTAAATTTTCTGGCTCAATTTGGGAACAACGTATGTGCCCCTGGTTTCCCTACGTACCAATGTGTTTTTACGAAGGAGGAAAAAAGTTCCGGTTGAGCTCGACGTCACTAAGAATCGGTCAAATCTCTAAACGCAAGCTGTATTTTTACAAGGAAACTGTATAGGACGTTCTCCCGGAGACTGCAACGCAGCATGAGAAAAACAACCAAAATGCAACCAGCTTACCGTGAACAGGAGTCAATGGAGATGTTGCATGTGTGAGGGATTTACGATTTGACTGTTGATTCTTATGGAAAAGTTCGCGAGAAACACGATAGTGCCACTGATTTTCTCTGAAATCAACCCGCAAACTCAAAAAACGCTCTCAAAGTTGAGGCCAAAATGGAGGGGATATCCCACGCTATCCTGAGAGTCCACCTCTACATCAAGACAAACTCTCCATGCAAAGATTGGGAGCAAATACATCAGCAGGGTTGCCATGTTTTCATTTTTAGAGTCCCCAAATAAAGTGGTAACCCTGTCAATGTATTTGCTCCCTATCTTTGCATGGAGATAGTTTGTCCTGATGTAGAGGTGGACTCTCATGATAGCGTGGGATATACCCTCTATTACGCCCTCAACTTTGAGAGCTTTTTTGAGGTTGGGAGTTGATTTCAGGGAAAACCACTGGCACTATCGTGTTTCTCGCGAACTTTTACATCAGAATCACTAGTAAACTTGCATATTCTTCACACATGCAACATCTCCATTTTTAAGGATTATCTATAAGGGTACCTTTGACTTGTCGTTTGCCAGATGGAAAACCGTAACCACATACTTCATGGTTGCGAAACCTCCTTCCATATCGATGACCAAATTGCGAGAACCACGTATTTCCGTTTGCGACGTTGCAAAATTCCTGTCATACTTCGTTTTTTCTTTGGAAAGCTAAGTCAGGTTACTTCCTGAATATTTCTTTGATTTTTTCTCTCTTTCAGCAGAATATTCTGCACTAATTTCAAGCTATGGCGTTGGCTTGTTTCCCTTCAAAGAATCAAAATGAGCGAATATATTGAAACACAACAATGCTGCCATGCTAAGAAAGAACGCCGTATGAGCCTTTAGGCGTTGCCAAGTTTCCTCTGATAAAAACTAAATTTACTAGAGAAATTGTGAAAATGATTTTCCAACATTTTTACACAATTTTGTACCCATTTAAATCTAAGATATCAGAAAATTTAAAGGGATAATATGCATAAATGTTTTTAAAAATTAATGTTGTGTCAGGGAAACTTCGGCAACTCTCGAATGTTCATACGGCGTTCTTCCATAGCACGTCAGAATGGAGATACGTGTTTCCGCACTTTGGCTATCGATCTTGAATTTTTACTCGGAAAGCGTTTGGCATCTCTAACTGAAAAGTCGTTCGTAATTCCTCTGACTCCGTGCAAAAATCACCAAAATGTTGAATTAAATTACGTTGTCAAATCTTTGCAAATAACAGAGTTGTTTTATCGTCAAATTCGCATACTCGAAATGGAGGTGAGTCCCTTCGTCTAAGAAAGGACAATTTGTGTAGAGGTGATAAAGTGGCCAAAAATGTTTTTATTAATTTAGTGAGCGTGAATTTAAAAGTAATTTGGTTAGGCATGAGGTTTTCCTCAAAACCACGTGTTTTATTTATGATTTCAGTCATTCTCGTGAGCACTAAATTCTGGTCACAGAATCCGTCAACGAGTGTCGTCGGAGGCTTCAAAGCATAAGAAATGAGAAGAGTTAACCTTCAAACTCCTCCGATGTCCTGTTAGCAAGGTCTCCACTTAGAATGCTCAAGTGCAAACTCTTGTTCCTTACGTGCCTTGCCTTCAGTTACTTTGACGTGGGCGGAAACACTTCCGTCCATATACTATAGTTCTAAGGGGCTAACCCCCTGGCCGCTACGCAGCCCAGCCCCGGGGGACGTTCCCGTTCATTCCCGTTTTGAAGGGCCTCGTGCCAGGTTGGCCTGGTGGTCAGCACATCTGACTATAGGTTAATAGTTCCCGGGTTCGAATCCCGGTGGTGGCGTCTAATTTTCGCGGAATTGACGGGTAGATATGCTGAAACAGATTTTATTCGGTCCTAGTCCCTGAAAATTTGAAAAGCCTGGAGCAGGGATGTGTCTAAATCCCTCAATGTCTGTACGGACAATAAACATGGTCTAAAGTTGGCTGGAGGTGCTAGATACGAAGTCATAAAACCAGGAAAATTGTCGTGATAATCATTTAAAATATTTTCCTGTTTCTGAAGATCATGGGATCATCATGATGATGTTCCATTTTACTGGGGTCATTATTTTTCAGCGAAGGTAGTCGGTGCTTTTTTCCACAGGCAATGACAAAGCAGATTTTACCTATAATTTTTAGGACCTATGCCGCAACCATGCGTACTTATGGGTTTCCGCGTGAAAAATAATACCTAAGTTTTACAGTCTGGGTAATTCTGCAGTAACTTTTGTCATCATTGTAGCAGTTTCAAGAATATGTCGGTGTGAAAGCGTGAAATATGCCGCAGGATCTCCGATGACTCTCGCAATAGAAATTTTAAATAATTTCGAGGTGAATGATAAATTGCACGCTAAATATGAAGAGAAGATGAGTCGTGGATTTTTATTTATTTAAAAGGGCGTGGTTAACATGATCGTTGGAAGCGAATCCGTCATAAATAAAAGCCACACGAACAATCGAATCTCTTCTGCCTCTATTGGGAAAACACGTTGGTGGATAGACGCAGCGCGATGTTGCCTGGTCACAGAATCCATAGTTCTCCGAACCAAGAATCGTAACTCCATTCCAAGGTTGCAAAATTGAATCAAATGATTCAATTTCAAATCAAATGATTCAATTTTGCACAAGAATGTACCTGGGCAACTTTTCTCCAAAATTGTCCTGATTTTTTAATGATATCAGAGAATAAAAATCAGTGAAATTTTCAGTTAAAAATGCACAAGATTCTCTTAGTAAAAAATACAATTTATGAGGGTGAATTTTGGCAATGTTGAAATGTAGTTACCCTCTTTCATGGGAGAATGGCGAATCGTATTCTGATGGATGAATCTTAAGGATTGGAAAAAGTAATGGCATCTACGTCCGTCAGAAATCAGGCTGTAAAAACTTCTAAAAACGCAATACTTACTTAGAAAAAAATTTGGCCATAAAATAATATCAACAGTTTTGAATTGACGTAGGAGAAAAAATGACTCAAAATTTCAATTTTTTTTTCAAAAAATTTCAATAGTTCAAGATTTCAAAATTCAAATTTTAAGTTGCCAAAAATAATTATGAATAAGTTAAAGTTATTCAACTGCGACTTACTTCAAAATTATTTAGCGGGGGTTATTTTTCCCCCGTCCGAGACCCCCATCACATAATACATTTACTGCAGCTTCTTTTTAGGAAAAAAAGAGTATCAGCAACACCAGATTCAGTTCCCCCCCCCCCAAAAAAAAAAAAAAAAAAAAAAAAATACCAGAGAAATCAAGAGAAAAATCTACCAATTTTAGCGAGAAGTCGAGTCCATCAACGGAAATTGGGCAACTTTTGTATTCTGATTTGTAATTTTCTTTTAGCACAGCAAACTAGAAATCAACCCTCACTGTACGCGTCGTCGTTCCGCGGAAATTTTGACGGGATTCTGGGAGTTCAAAAACCTCAAAATCATCCTCGGTTCCCTTTTCGATCATTAGTACTAACCAGTTAAAAGCTGCCGCTACGCAGCTTACTTATGTATTCTCAGCATAAGTCATTATTCTCCAGGCGTGTGAATTTGAATAATTAATTCGTGCGAGTAGACAACTCGATTATTTACGAGTAGGTATTTATTATAACTCGAGTTGGTTCTCATCATACTTCGAGTTCGGTAAAATTTTGACAAAATTGTGAGGAATACTTGTATTAGGAAAAGCATGGTCGTACATAATTCTTGATAGTTGGCAAAACTATTTTTCCTTCATTTAAATGTATGTAAAACAATCGATTCTTGGTGAGGCAGCTGACCTTACCTAAAATCATGGTATATTTTTAATAGTTTATAGTGTTGCCAGCTATTAAGGATAGCCACTGCAACTGCACGCAATATTCTTTGCAGGTCGTACCAGAGATTCTGCAGTAAAAAATTGGAAATCCGATTTCTCGACCGAATTTAACAAAAATCGCTTTCCTAAGGATGTTGTTCAAGGACTAAGTTCCCTTTACCCTTGGACAGTTACCTGATGGATAGAAATACGGTGACATAATTAATTTAGAGTTTTGATAGACCGTCGTGGCGCGTGGCATCATGATGGTCCATCAAGCAGCTATTGAATCAGGCGCTTGCATGCAACTATCCCTACACGATGGATGTGCGTATTGCCTACACGAATTGTACGAAGGTGCTTTAATTTTTCTGGCAACTAAAACAAAGACGTACAAAATACGACAAAGGTCAGTCACTTTAAGTTACTCAATGGCTGATGTTCTTATGTTTTTCCTATATTCTAAGGCTGTAGTCATCTCTCATTATTAGTTCCTTTCTCGNGGGGGGGGGGGGAGGGTCCTCCATATAATTTACAATATGATGAAAGGAGGTTCATGGAGACTTAAGGGAATATATTCTACAAGCCTTGAGATAGATGAATTATGAGAAAAATTATAAGATCCCCGTGGTGTGATCAGATTTCTGAGTAAGATTTGAAGAGGAAAATACAAGTGACGTTTTTTCAGGTTAAGACCTTGTCTAGTGGCTGTTAAATTTCTATTGTCATAGCGAAAACCTACACCGGACTACATTTGGTCTTATTTAAATGAAAAGGGACTATATTCATTGTGACCTGAAACCCAAAAACCATTCGCATACACCCACTACAGAGCTCGTGTCACAATGAAGATAGTTCCTTTTTTCTTTAAATACGCCCATTCCAGAATTAGGTATGAAATCCACCGTCCTTGCGGCAACTATACGATTCTCGCAATTAATTCGCCCCAGCGATTTTCGTCATCCGAAGTGATTTGACCACGACCGATATTATTACTCTGCCGTGCAGTTGAAAAACGTCGTATGGGCATTCAAGTGTTGCCAAATTTCCTCCCAATAAGAATTCCTTTTTGAGTAAGTTATGCACATTTTTCTTTGAAATTTTAAGATGCTTTAGTTTAAGTAGCGAATAAAATTGTGTGAAGAATTAGAAGATTAATTTCCACGAGTTTCCTAGAAAATTCGGGTTTTATTTAAATAAATCTGGCAACGCTTGAAGGCTCACATGGCGTTATTTCTTAGCACAGCAGCACTGGCATCGTGATCAAAATAAAACCATTTCGCAAAGATCATTAGTCGGGCGGAATACAGCAGGAAAATGAACGTGGACACAACTTTTTTTTCCACGTTTTACTCGAAAACATGATCATTATGGTTTCAACAACAATATGTCAACAACGATGATTAGCCCCTAGAATTAAGACAAAGAGCTCGGATCTGGTAGAATTTTGGATCCTCCTAAAAGGCTGCTCGGCCGTATTTGGCTTCGATTTGACTCCAAGGTCCCGGGTAGTTGCTCCGGATGTAGTTGACCACTTTTCGAGCATTGTCCAGTTGGCGTGCGGAACAGCTCTTGCACTGACGGCCCAGCACTTCAGGAATGGCCTCTGCAACATACAGACAGAATACCAAATTAGAGCTCTCCAAAATTTGGGCAGGATATGATTATTTTTAGGGGGTGTGCAATCCCTCACGCGAGGGAAAGACGCCGGTTTTGCACTGAAAAAAAAGATTGGTAGAATTTACCATTCCTTCACGCTGTTTTTCCTACAGCGTGAAGGAATGGTAAATTCTACCAATCTTCAAGTCGATCCTGCCAGAGGAATGGATACCTATACCAGTATATAGTAACGTTTACCTTTCTCCTGGCACAATCGACTCTATATTGACGCTGTGTGAAATACAGCGTGAAGGAATGGTAAATTCTACCAATCTTTTTTTTTTTCAGTGTGCGCGTTACTCCTCGGATGGAGTCCGTTTCCAGCTAAAAAAGCATATTCCGAACAAATGTGCATTATAATTTTTGGACAACTAAATAGAATGAGGACTGTGCTCATATTCGTTTCCAAGACAGTTGTTCTTCTCATTAGGAGGCCCTAGAATGATTCAGAGAAAAAAATTTTAGGTCTTAGGTTTCGATTCCCAGAAGAAATGTTGGAAGGTAGGTGACAAGAAGAAAGTTGAGAAAAATGTTGGGTCAATCCGTTAATTTCAGGAAAATGCGCAACTATTTTTTTAGAACAAAATCGTGATTTTTATAGTATTTTTGCTTTTGAGTTTGCACTTCGCGTATTTTGAGTATTGGCTTAAGTAGAAAATCTAGAGGGCAAAATATCACAGAAGAATTGTGCAAAAGAGCACGATCGGATTATTTTGAGGGGGTGCGCACCCCCAACGCGCGAAAACACGCCAGTTTTGCACGTTTTTCTATGGATCGAGGTCAGTTTTGAGCTTAAAAGCCATGTTTCGACGGTCATTTTTTCGCTAGTGAGGGAGATGTACATCCGCTAAAAATAACCCGATTGTGCCCAAATTTTGCACAACTCTACTTTGATATTCTTAAATTTGATTTAGATACCTAGATTTAGATTTTTTGCCTGGAGCCAATATTCCAAACACAAAAAGTGCACCCTAGGCAAATAGCTAGAGCTTGAGTTCGCACTTATATCTTTCCTCTCCTGAAACATGGCACCTTTAATCGTTTTTTTTTTTTTTTTTTTTTTTTTTTTTTTTTTTTTTTTTTTTTTTTTTTTTTTTTTTTTTTTTTNCAAAGACACAGCTACGCAAGCGTTCAGGGGTCCTTCACACACATACCGATATACTTTCAAAACAAAAACAGCCGGAAAAGGTTAGAAAAAACTCGAGAACCGTGGAGTGTTACGAGACACAGGTTTGGTTAACTCCGCGCGCGGTTGCCGAATCTCACCTTTAATCGTGTTAAAAAAGATAGTACACAGGAGAATTCTACCATTGTAAAGTATACCGTTACATAACTTTAGACCTGATTTAACTCGAGTAGACTCACTTTTTTGGGAGCAAAAAGTGCATGAATTAACGAAGACAAAAGCCGCTTTTTTCTAAATTGCGAGTTGAATTTCCGAAATTTTCAATGCGTTCATCGTATCTTGTGAAAAATTTCGATACGGAAACATACTTGGAGATATTCGATTTAGTGCGCCGTCCTCTGGTCCATTTTAATAATCCCACAGTGAAAACGCGACGAAACTGGAAGCTCAGTGACGTAAGAAACTAGCGACGATTTGGAGTGTTTGCTCATTCCGAAACGTTTTGACATTTTTCGCAATCACGACCGCGACAGTCATCGAGATGCGACACGACGTGATGATTATTCACTGCTAATAACATTCGTCAACTTATACCCAAGTGACTACAATGCTTTTGGCTCTTCTATCTGTTCCGTGACCTTTCGACCAGATCTCGCTTGGAAATATGTGTTTTTTGTGTCCTTTCAAACGGGGAAAACGGCGATCTGACATGAAGAAGGTGTCCAGTGCTGTGAGGTTGAGTGCGGATACTTTGCCGCTATCATAAATGTGTCAAGGTGCTTTGTTCAGAGACTCTATGCGAAGTCGCATCTCTTTGTTTTTCACCAATCTCGGCCTTTGAAGTCGTCGTAACTTATTGAGATGCCCAGTGCCAAAAATAAATTTATGGGCTCAGCCCACACACTTTTATTGAGCTGCATAGTTATATGGTTCTTAGGTACTGTATAGAACGATTTGTAATAGTTGATCGATCGATTATAATATCTGCATTACAAGGGCAAAATCATTTTTAAGTATTTCTCCTTCATATTTGCCATAGCAAGGCTTACATCATTGCTTCTGTACTGCCGTGTTAAGGAAAAACGTCGTATGAACATTCGAAAGTTGCCAAAAGTCCGCATATAAAACATGTATTTTTGAAGAAAGTTATGCGTATTTTTCCTTCAGATTTTTTGATATTTTGGATTAAATTGGGAACAAAATTGTCTGAAAAATTGGAAGAAAAATATTTCGAATTTTCCCAGTGAAGTCGTTGGTTATTAAAGGAAATATGGCAACGCCTGAAGGCTCACACGGCGTTTTTCCTTAGCACGACAGCATAGCAGGGGTGGGGGGAGGGGTGGCGGTGGTTGCTTTGAAAGATGTGGAAGGTGACGCTCAACGCAGCGTTAACGAGAGAAGGTTTTTCATAGTGTCAAAAAAATGACAATATGACGTTATGAAATTTATGGGCAGTTTTCAACCAGCCATCCATTCCATACTCTTGGAGACTTTAAAGCAGCATAAGAAAAACAACCAAAATGCAATCCGCGTAACATGAAAATGAGTCAACTTTCAAGGCTTATCAATAAGAGCACGTTTTCACGTTTACTCGTTCGATATTGCAACGTTGCGGACTCCCCGTTCGGATATTTTTTTTTTACTTGGAAAATCTACCCAGAGTTACTTGTTATAACGCTTTTTAAAGATTTATCGCTCTACTTTTCAATTTTAATATATAAAGGACCGAAAATGTGCTGTCTGTTACGCTGACTTTTTACCGCGTAACAGACAGCACATTTTCGGACTTTACAGAATAGTAATTGAGAAGTAGAGCAATAAATCATTAAAAAGCGTTATAATACGTAACCCTTTGAAGATTAATGCGAAAAAATTTGAAAGATTATCATTTCTACTAAAAATACGACCGAAACATGTGTCGTCTGTTACGACGACTAAACCATTCCAGTTATCGTGAAACCACCCCTATGGTAACGACTGCACTTTTTTTAATGGCACCTCCGGAAAAATCAGATACGAAAACTTACGTTTGAGCTGTCGGCCGATGTTGTCACAACTGCCTTTATCCAGGACGCAGTTGATCTGCCGGTTGACGTAATCCCGGTTGGTCAGCAAACGCGAGACGTCTCCCTCCCCGACCCTTTGACCCGAGGTGCCCCAAACACAGATCACCAACACGAGCAAAACACAAGCGCACCTCATGATGATTCCTCTACAAAAATCGAACGTACGGATCCAGTTACCCGGTCGAAAACACAATCAACGCTTTCAGGCATCGGGCAAAACTTATATGCACTAAGTCGAGTTCGCGAGAAAACTGCATCTTGAGGACACCGAAAAAAGACCTAACTCCATTTTGACATAGAACCGGCGAACACACGGCTTTATGCGGACGATAGAGCTCATCTTAGACACGGATTACGTCGCAAAGCGATAATTAATCGAGGCAAAACTAATTAATTGCATTTCCTCGAAAGCCTATGATACGGTGTTGTTTCACGGAGAGCAGGGCTCACGCGAGAGTGTAGTTGGGTCGTTATACAAGATCGCTGTCCAATTTTAGTGCAAGCCCGGAAGTGATGAGCAGGGTCGTTCAACGAGGCGTCTCAAAATACTCCAGAATCGTTTGGAAACATACGGACCATGGTCATTAGGTCGGTGTTTTGATGCGCCTAATGATCTGTAGGTTTATTTTGTCAACCTGGACGCTTTTTGAGCTTAGATCGACGGTTGGAGGAAATATCTAATCGGTGGGTATTTCTAGTTTACTGCCCGTTCCAAATGGATGTGACCCATTTAGATTTTAAAAGTATTTTTAAAATATCATCAACTTTTTTCAAACATAAAAAACAATATAGAATTTGCAGGTGTCTGAAATTTGATGAATTTCGTGTCTAATAAGTGGAAACTACTGGGTGAACTGATCACGAGGATACCCTTGGATCATGAGTTGAACAATTATTGGAGAAGATATGACAACATGATCTAATCTGCTAAAACAGGTGTGTGCAACGCTGCAAACGGAGATACATGGTCACCCAATTAGCCATCGATATCTTTCTTAAAAACGTATTTATGATGTATTCAAAAAACGTCGACGGTAAACCTGTGGTCCTCTATGGTCATCGAAATTTACGATTTTCTGTTAATGGCTTGAGTTTCAAGCGCTCTCAATGAGCTAGTAAAATTTTTTCATTCTTGCATTTTTTAAAAGTACTTAAATATTGCACTTAGCTCCCCAGAATTTCCTCAGATTTTCTTTAACATTTCTAATAAATCTGAGACTATGAGAGACTCTCATTTCCTAAATATGGCGGTTCTTTTCCTGTAGATGGAGCTTTTGTATGCCACTGGGATTTAAGATTAAAGTTAATCATCTTGCCAGTGGGGAGGCGTGAATAATCGATTGTCGATATTTCCCCCATTTGAAGGTATGGTAGAGAATCGATCATTTAGGTGTTCGATGCGAACACCCTAATTATCGATCCTTTTCCATAAGTTTTAATGGCTGATCAATCGAGAAATCGCAAAGCACGCCACGCCGCGCCATTGCATCCTATACCTATATACTTCCGTACCAAGGAAGAACGCCGTATGAGCCTTCAGGCGTTGCCAATTTTCCTTCGATAAAAACCGAGTCTACTGGGAAAGAATATTTTTCCCCAGAAATTTCGGACAATTTAGTACGCAATTTAATTTAAAATACCTTAAAATTTCAAGGAAAAGGATGCATGAATGTTGTTAAAAATACATATTTATCAAGGGAAATTTGGCAACTCTCGAATGTTTATACGGCGTTCTTCCTTAGCACGGTAGTATAGGTAAAATTTCGCGAGAAACACGATGGTGCCAGAGGTCATCTCTAAAACGAAATTCCAAACAAAAAAACCTCTCAAAGCCGTAATGGAGGAAATCCCTACGTTTTGAGCGAGTGCATCTCTGTATGCAGCCAAACTCTGCGCACACGGTTATGGCGCAAATATCAATCTATTATTGGGGTTGTCACTTTTTGAAATGACTCTTAGCTTTTACCTCGGCAACTGCAACTCTACTGATATATTCACGCCTTATCTATGCAAGGAAAGTTTGCTGGGGCACAGAGGTGGGCCTTTTTATAATTTAGAATATCCTACTGGATTACGACTTCAACTTCGAGAGTTTGTTCTAGGGAAACATCATCACAATTTTTGCGAAATTTTACCGACGTGAAAATTTTTCAATCGTGTAGCATATCCATGTAGCATGTAAGAGTTTCGTTGAGTGTGTGCTCCCTCGACACCTAAACAGAATAATTTTTCCTGATAAATTTACCGACGTGAAACGCCTTCAATTATGTGGTTGGCAAAACTTCCTACAGGATGACTGAAATAATAATAGAGTTAGTCCTCGGCAATGAAGGGGTCATTTAAAAGTGATGTTACGTGTTGTGAGCAAGAACAGAGACGATATCGTGGAAATTGAATCGTTGAGTTCGAGACGGCCTGACTCTGAAAAGCTAGAATTTACCGGAAACTGTAAAATTTTAGCAGCAACGAAAATAGTCAAACGGGGAAACAGCCACTTGTGAGGAGAAAGGGCACCTTCTGGAGAACTTCATGATCAGTTACTGCTTAGAATGAACAACTCTATTAGGAGACAACAAATGAACAATTTTAAATTTGGGAGTTCGGGTGTTTTTGAACTTGACGATTTCAGACAGTTAAGGCGTGAACTGAAAATTAATAAAATCTGTTGTACGATATTTTGAGACCATCGAAATTTTTTTAAATTTCGATCAGAGAAAATTGAAATTGCCCTATGATAATAGAAAAAGAGCCAATGCCACCCACCAGTCGAAACTAGAGGACGCTCCGTTGTCGTAATGCCGAATTGGAGATCAATGCTTGTTGTATCAAGCGCTTTTGAAGGCGCTTTTCGGCAGTACCTAGTGCATAACTGACGGCATTCTCAAATAAAATAGCCGTGGGTTCCCTCCCCTGTGCCCCTGGTCACCCTCCAATAATACTTGCGGCTCCTATCTAAGTATTTATTTTATTTTATGGTCTTATTTTTTATTTTTCTTTAGTTTTTAGTTTCTGAAAATGTGAATAAAAAGATCTCGTCCGCAGGTGTAAAACATTCAATAGAGCGATTTTTGTCGTGTTGGTTCAAAAAATCAGATTTGGACAGTTATTGAACGAAAAATTCTCTCTTGTTTCTTGAATGATTAATTGCAAAAAAGCGTGTTCATTTTCGTATCAGAAGAAGGCGTAACGTACGTTTTTAATTCGGCATTTTCGTGATCTGAACATGGTGATTTAGATTTTTTGATAGATTATCCTCATAATTATATAATTAACCTGCAAAATTCAAACCATATATGGTCTGAAGCTTTGAAGCGTTTTTTTATTCCAAAATGTTTGTATCAACTCCATGTGTTCCTCTATCTCTATCTGTCAACTCTTGTCAAAGCATCTAGCCCCTCCAAAAATCGATCCCTTTCAATATATTTAAATGGAGCCAATGCTTTCGCGAAGCGTCACGCAGAATTATACCACCTTTATCCTCCTCATCACGCGCCTGTCACGTGACCTCAGACTAACGGAGAGCGTGACGGAATTTATAGACAGCTATTTACTTAGCTCGATACAAAATTTTGAACAGCCCTACGGAGGGACACCGTATGAGCACTGAATGCTATCAAATTTCCTCCAATAAAATGTTTACTGAAAAAAAAATAGTTTTGAGTAATTTTCCTCGACATTTTTAGGAATACTGGATAAAGCAGCGAGAAAAGTGTTGTAAAAAACTCAAGGAGAAATATTTCAATGATAGCCTTCAAATTTATTTTTTATCAGAGTAAAATCGACCATACTAAAATGTTCTTGCGACTTTATTTTAGCACGGCTTTACCTACAAAGAGAGAGGTCGGTACTGTCTTGGAAACGCAGACAAAGAACCGGGAGTTGAATAGGTCTGAAATTATTTTCTAAGTTTTTTTCGCTCTACAAAATACAGGGAAGTAGGATCGAACATTTTACATGATTTGTTTTTTTTGCAAGGTGGAGGCCAGGCCTCCGAGGCCTACTGTGTAAATCATACTATGGTGATCAAGGGTAGATTAGTAGGTCCAGATAGATATGGGACGGATAGAAATCTATAGGTGCTAGAGAACGGAAAGGGTGGACAGGAATATGAAAGATGTCATTTTTTAGTCATAAACGAGATAAAAATCTGTGCCCCCCGATAACAGTGCTTACTTTTCTACTCACCGCTTTCGTCAGAGGTGAATCGAATCTTATTTCAAATTTCGAAGTATTAGGAGTTGTTTTAACCCAGTACCGTGAAAAAATAATTTCCGCTTATGGCAATGAAAATATTTCGTGTGTGAACATTTTATACTATACTGCTCTGTTAGAGGCCAGATCTACAATGCAACATTTTTCTTCTCCCCCTTAAAAGTACCGAGAATGGGATGGGTACAAAGGAGCAGATAAATGTCTTGAAAATGTGGAAAAAATACTATCAAAAAGTTTTGGAGTTTGACTGAATTTTTAAATTAATTTTTACTTCGTTTTCTCCTTTTTTTCGATTATTCATATATGTCTACTTCTTTCATCTTTATCCGTTTTTTTCTACTCTGCTAATTATTTCTTGTTTTTATCACTTGTTTTTCCTAGTACATATTTTCCTCCTTCTTTTTAGGACCTCGCAAACTATTTTTTTTCTTCCTTTCCACTTTATTTTTTAAAACTTTTTTTAAAAATCAAAACATCATTCCGACGATTCTCGTTTTCACCGGCCACCATAATCACCAACCCGTGATTCAACACCGCACCGCATCGTGACAGTCCACACACACACAAAGAGAAAAAAATTAAAATCATAGGTACGAGTCTCATGCATACTTGTGAA